ACTTTTGTGGGAGTTGATGGTGTTTATGTTTTTGTGTTAACGTTAAAGAAACCAATTAGCTTTTTTTATAGGGTCACTTTAATTCAGCTTAAATCTGCAAACTTGTGGCATTTTAGACCAAGAAATGACATGAGTGTCTAGTTCAAAATCTTCATTTTACAAATGAAGGTACAAAGAATGAGAAATATGACATGATTTGCATGAGGTCATAGTGAATTATTACTGAAGACAGAATTGCTGATAACCATTTTAAAGAACTGAGATGAAAGATGTATTGATAATTTTTCTTATATAATAAATACTTTTGATGATAAGTGTTCATTTCTTATTCTTTTTGGCTTGGTGTTAGAGCTTCTAATTTTTTTTTTTTTTTTTGAGATGGAGTTTCGCTCTTGTTACCCAGGCTGGAGTGCAATGGCACGATCTCGGCTCACCGCAACCTCCGCCTCCTGGGTTCAGGCAATTCTCCTGCCTCAGCCTCCTGAGTAGCTGGGATTCCAGGCACGTGCCACCATGCCCAGCTAATTTTTTGTATTTTTAGTAGAGACGGGGTTTCACCATGTTGACCAGGATGGTCTCGATCTCTCAACCTCGTGATCCACCCGCCTCGGCCTCCCAAAGTGCTGGGATTACAGGCTTGAGCCACCGCGCCCGGCCCAGAGCTTCTAATTTTTAAAGGGGTAAGTTTTAAAACAGTGAAAAATATAAACAGTTTTTATACTTTTCAAGGAATCTATGATCTAATGGGAAACATGTCCAGAGACATGGACTCTGGTAAGCATTGCTCAGGGGAAACGGACAAACTTTCAGAGACAGGTTCAGGGGATGCAGCAGTACCACCGAAGAGATGGTGACCAGGATGGTCTCGATCTCTTGACCTTGTAATCCACCCGCCTCGGCCTCCCAAAATGCTGGGATTATAGGCGTGAGCCACCGTGCCCAGCCTCACGTTCTCTTTCAAGTGATTGCTTTGGAGAAGGAAGAGCGGTGCTGTATACAAAAGTCCCCCCTTATCCGTGGGTAACATATTCCAAGATCCCCAGTGGAGGCCTGAAACATAGGTAGTACTGAACCCTATATATATTGTTTTTTCCTATACATACATACCTATGATACAGTTTAATTTATAAATCAAGCACAGTAAGAAATTAACAATAATAAAATAGAACAAGTGTAACAATATACTGTAATAAATGGTGTGTGAATGTGGTCTCTCTCAAAATATCTTATTGTAGTGTAGATTTGAGCAACCTCAGCATTTTGTCTTTCCCTAAGTCAAAAATCACCTTTTCACATAAAGGAACTTTATGGTTTCTCATTGGCAAATCGGAATTGTCACATCGCTACTGTTGCCCTTTAGGGTCTTTGAGAAGGTCTCACTGCTGCTGCTGAGGCTAGAGTGCAATGAAGTGATGCATGGCTCACAGCTGCCTCAAACTCCTGGGCTCAAGGGATCCTCCCATCTCAGTCTCCTAAGTAGCTGGGACTACAGGCACACACACCACCATGCCCAGCTAATTTTTTTTTTTTTAAGAGATGGGGGGGGGAGGGTCTCACTATGTTGCCCAGGCTGGTCTTGAACTACTGGTCTCAAGGGATCCTCCTGCCTCAGCCTCCCAGAGTGATTACAGGTATAAGCCACCACGCCAGGCCCATTATTAAATAACCTAAGAGTTACTTGAACACAAGCACTGTGATACTCAATCGTCAATCTGAACCAAGATGGTTACTAAATAACTAACAGGAGGGGAATGGGAACAGAGTGGAGCTCGAGAAAGACCAAATTGCCTTTAAAGATTTACTTCCTGGGCAAAGAAATGAACAAAATGGCCTCTCTCCTCAAGTGACCTAGTTTCCCAGGCATTGGCATTTTTTTTTTTTTTTTTTTCCTGGAAGAAAAGACAACAACTAATTCTGAGTCCACCCTCCTGAGCCCCTGGAAATATTCTCTCCATGGAACCCAGCTCCCTGCTCTGGGCAGCACGAACCGCACTGAACACCTCTGCCTCCTTTTGGGTGCCGGCTCTGGGGTCCTGGGCAAGGCTGACCTGAGGCTCAGGGGATGCCAGAACTGTGTCCTCACAATGCTCAGCCACCCATGATGTTTATCCCCTGCTCCCACCCAAAATCCTCCATTTCTCTCCTTCTGTGTCTCCTTCCATCCTGCTCCTCCTCCTCCCCAGCAAAACCCTCCACTGTCACCTCCCCCAGCAACTGACACTTGGCTGAGGACACAGCTTCCCCACAGCCCTCTCCAGTGCAGGCTATTCATCTTCTCCTACTCTTCAAGGTCAGGATCGACAGCCTCCCTGCTCCTGAGATCATGTGCAGGTTCCCCTCCACTCATCCCATGCTCAACTTCTGTCTGGTTACTCCCCCGTACTCAGCAGCATTTTCGCCACCACCACCCTGGGTGGCCTTCCCTTGACCACATCTCCAAAGACCTTCCCCTCCACACCATTTCAGCTGCACACTCCTGTGTGGGGAACGCTCCCGTGTGAGACCCCTAAAAGGCGTGAGTCTCACTATACGGTGAGTTTGATCCCAAACACAGTTTCCTACTGGAGGCAGTCGAGCTATCCGGAAATATAGGAAGAAAGATGAATGATCAGTTTCTAATATCAACCACAATATCGTTTGGGCCTAAAACTATGCGTTGCTGCTAGACCGAGTGACCCCCTACCAGCAACCAGTTCCTGCTTTTAACCTTTTTTATGACTCTCTTTTAAGAATAAGTTTTAACCTTTTCTTTACTTACCTGACTGCCTAATGGTTTAACTGTCGATATTTGCAAAGCAAATGCCACCATAAGGGATGGCTTTGATTCCTGACTCAGAGATTCCTGAATGGGGAAATTGAGTTAAGTTGAGTTAGGAGTAGAGAAAGGAGAATCCAGTTAAGAGATATTCTGATGAGCAAAACCAGAAAACCTTTTCACATCTCAGTTCTAAAACAAGATCAAACCGGAGATACCTGCAGCCAGGAGGAATAATGACTGGATGCAAACAAGCTTTGTGATTACAGGAAATTCTGTTACTTTTTACAACCACTGATTGTGTATCTGACTTCTCTATTGTATAGGCCATGTAAGGTATACATTTACATTTCCTCTTGCAACCATTGTGTATCTGATTTCTCTATTGTATAGGCCATGTGAGGCATACATTTACATTCCTCTTGCTATGACGTAAACCAGAGCCAAGAAAGTGTATTTATTCCTGGCATTTGAAAAATAAAATTTGCTGTTTAGGCACAGCCTATCAGCCCTCCAGACGCCTCGCTTTCTCTCTCTCTGTCTTTATTATTTTCTCAGGCGCACTCCCTCTTCTAGGTATTGGGACCCTCTTGCAGGTCGAGAGACCCCCGGGCAGACGTGCCTACCCGTCCGGACGGTCCACGACACTCCTGAACCTCTTCCTGACCTTGCACGCCCTCATAAGTTCCTACCCTTCCAGCCCGGTGACTTCCGTCACGCTAGCACGTGTTCTTCAGCAGGCCTCAAGCTCATTCACTCCTCCTCGGTCTCCCTGTCTGACAAACCCCTTTGGCCTCAACTCTCCCCCTACCCAGCTTGAACTGCATCCTCTAGCACTTCAATCACTCTTGTTCAACTCTTCAAAACCATCTTTCATCTTTCTGAACTCCAATTCTGTAGGGTGTCTTCTTCTGGGTAGACCCTACACTAGAGAAATGCAAAGCATACAGCCTAAGAGATTTGGGCCACCAGGTCAGCGGCCCCCCACCTCGGCTGGGCCTTCAACACTGCCACAATTCCTCCATCCTAACCCATAGCGCCCCCAGGGAAGGGGAAGATGGGCGGAGCACAGAGCACCCACCTAACCCACCCCAATCCTTCCATTCCCCTCGCCTCCTCCAGGGCTTCGAACCGCTTTTCCTGCTCTTGTCACGTAGGAGCAACGTCTCACACTGTCCAAACTAAACTAGCTCAAGTCTCTCTCACCTGAAAAAGAAACACTCCTCGAGTGGCTCTCTCTCCAGTGACTCTCTCCAGCAACAGCCCCAAGTCTCCTCCCCTTCATGACCAGCTGTCTACACTTCCTGCTTCCATTTCCCCACTTCCTTACTCCCTGGCTCCTGCCCCCACCCCACAACTGTTCCCCACAGGGCCACAGGTGGGAACCACTCAGTGTTGACACGGCTGCCCCTCCCTGTGACATCGCCCTCCTGCTAGTCCGTTCCTATCTCAGTCCCCTCCTCCCATTACCCGATCTCTCCCAGGCCCTCTGCTCGCCATCAAAGGCTGAGGCCTCACAAGCCTACGTCTCCAGACAGGCTCGCCCAACTGCCTCCTCCAGCCAACAGCCCACTCAAGGTCCACGTGGTCTAAATCGCATTCCTTCCTCGCACTCCTTTGCCCTGTGTCCCCTCTTAAGAGGGGATCCCGCTCCGAGCCAGACCTGCGCCCAGCATGGAGCTGAACATAAGTACTTACTTAACAAGTAAACGAATCCTTGACCCTCCCTTATGCTCTACAGCCGGTGAGGAGTCCTGTCCATTTATACTGCCTCCCACGTCCCTCGAGTCCTCCCCTCCGCTTTTTCGTTCACCGCGACTGGCTGCCTACTCAAGACTCAACCCCGGCTGGGCCGGGAACGTGCGCCGCGGCGCTCGAATCCTGCTCTGCAACCCTCTCTCCGTGACGCCCGCACTGCACCGGGGCACCGTGGCCCAAGACAGGAGCTGGTCTCTAATACACGAACCGAAAGAGCAAGCGGAGGCACGAGGAATAGGAGCACCGCCAGCGGCGTCCGGAGCCCAAGATACCACGCGGCGGGGACTGAGACGCCGAGCCCACGCACGTATCCCTGCATCCCGGATCTGCACGGGATAGCCTTGGGCCGAACGACGTGTTAAGCCCCGCCCACGCGGCGCTCCCAGCCGCCAATGGAAACGGCTTTCGAGCCGCCTTCTCCACGCGCCACACTCGTACGGACCAATGGGTGCGCCCTGCGGGGAATGCCGCCCCCTATCACGAGCCTCCTCTTCTTGCCAGCCAATGGGAGCGGCCTGCGTGGCCTTCGAGGGGGCGGGGCGGAGCGCTTAGCTCGTGAGTCCAGGAAGGCGCGTGGTGCTGGCCCCTCCTCTCACAGCTGCGGGTCCCGGCCGAACCGACAGAAGATGGGGGCTCCGGCAACGAGGCGCTGCGCGGAGTGGTTGTTGGGCCTCTATTTCCTCACCCACATCCCCATCACCCTGTTCCTGGACCTGCAGGCGGTGCTGCCGCGCGAGCTCTACCCGGTCGAGGTGAGGGGCGCCTGTCTTATCCTGGCCGGTCAAGGGTCTCCCGCGCGCTGCGTCCACAGCGCCTTCACCCCCTCCGCGCTGGCACACCCTGGTTCCAGTTCTGCCGCCTCCCTCGAGTCCTGCCCATGCTCCCCCGGCTCCTTATCCAACTTCAGCTCGGGCTTTGTCTCTATCCCAGACCTTTCTCCCAAGCGGCAGGGGCGAACGCTTTGCTTCCTTTAAAGTCACTCCCTGGGTTTGTTTAAGGTTCCCGCGGTTCCACCTCTGGACAGTTGTCAGTGTCTGAGGGAAGTAGCCTGGATGAACTCGTGTCTAAAGTCACGTGTTAGGTTTGTTTGAAAGTTCTGTTATTTTTGGAAGGGCTTTAAAATCCCAGTCTGATCCAAAAAAAAAAAAAAAAAAAATCCGAGTAGAAATAGACCCGTCTGAAGGTTTAGCGCCTTGGTTGGTGCAGCTGGGGCGTTCACAGATCGTCACTGCTTTAAGATTAGGTTCCAGCAACTTCCAAAGGTCAGGAGTAAATTAGCAGCTTTTCTGATTGGCCCTTCAATATGGAGTTCGAGTAACAGTGATCACCTGAGTAGAAATAAAGGTGAAAATCCCTATTTCATGGTCGTTGGAGAACATTCTTTACCCCAAACTCTGCTTTAATGCTTTGTTTTTTCTTCAAAGCTACAGTTTTAGTTTCTTGGTTTATTGGGGTTTTTTTTCTCGCATCTGGACCCTGTGACCTTCTTCCATGGAATTTCTGTCCTCAGTTCTGTTTCTCCAACTTATCTGTAGAACTGTAGACAGGACTGACTTGTCTACCTGAAGATTTCATTTTTCCTCTGTTTCTCCTTAAATGCTTTTTCTCTGCCGAGGAGGGATTCTTTACTTGAGGGTCATGAACTCCCAAAAACGGGTGCAAAATGTGCCTTTTGTTGCCTGGAAGGAGAATATAGGTTCCATCGACTTTTCAAGGGGCCTAACTCTCCCAAAAAGATTAAAAGCCACAGCTCAAGAATGTTCCACCGCTCCCATAAGTCACTGTTTTTTTGTTTGCTTCTAGAACCAAACACAACTGGAAGACTTCTGGCCTCCTTTTCCATGGGAAAAGTGTAGGTAGTATGGCAAGGTGCAGTCTGGAGACTTGGTTCTTCCAAGAACTGGTTGGTACGCAGGTCAGGGCTCTGTACCCTCGACTGGTGGAGGGAGTTGAGTTAAATCATAAGCTCAAACATATACAGGGTGAGTTAGTTTCCTATTATTGCTGTAGTTACCACAAATGTAGTGACTTGACCCAGATTTATTTGTTACACAGTTCTGGAGGCCAGACGTTCACAATGAAATCTTAACAGTGCTAAAATCAAGATGTCGGCAGAGCTCATTCCTTCCAAGGGCTCCAGCTGAGAATCTAGCCCTTGCCTCCTCCATTTTATGGTGGCTGCTGATGTTCCTCGAGTTGTAATCACATCACTTCAGTCTCTGCTTTGGGTCGTCACATTGCCACATTGTTTCTGTAGTCAGAGCTCCCTCTGCTTCACTTTTATAAGGACTCTTGTCATACATTCAGCGCCCACCAGATAACCCAGAAAAATCTCCCCATCTCAAGAGCTTTAACTACATCTGCAAAGTCCCTTTTGCCAAATAAAGTGACAGTCACAGGTTCCAGGGATTAGGATGTGGTTATCTTTGGTGGCCATTATTCAGCCTACTACAGTGCCAGATAGTACAGACTCTTCCCAAAGACCAAAGAGGTCATGACAGCTCTGCAGTAACTACTAGTTGCCCTGAAGAAAGGGCAATACGGTAGTAGATTTTCCTATCTGTGGTTTTTGAAACCTGTGTGGCCAGCAGTATTCAGGCAGGCTGCCTGTTTATCTGGTGTTAACGGGACCTATTTGTTTTGAGGTGGAGTCTCTCTCACCCAGGCTGGAGTGCAGTGGCTGGATCTCAGCTCACTGCAACCTCCACCTCCCAGGTCTCTCAGCCTCTCAAGTAGCTGGGATTACAGCTGTGAGCCACCATGCCCAGCTAATTTTTGTATTTTTAGTAGAGATGGGGTTTCACCATGTTGGCCAGGCTGGTCTCGAAGTCCTGACCTTGTGATTCACTCACCTTGCCACAAGGTGCTGGGATTACAGGTGTGAGCTACCACACCCAGCCGGGACCTTTTAATCCTTGGTAATTAGCCTGCTACTCCACGTAACCATTCCAGACTTCACAGCTGTTGGTTTCTTTATCCTTCCTGATGTACCATTCCCACAAGCCCGTCTTGCTCACCCATAACAAAATACATTTAAAAGGTGCCCTGCATCATATCATAAAGATCCCCAGTTAAACATTAAAATGCTTACATTTGATAAAATTTTCTCAATCTTTTTCTTAGAAACAGGGTCCTTTGTCACCCAGTCTTGGAGTGCTGTGGTGCAGTGATGGCTTACCACAGCCTTGAATTCCTGAGCACAAGAGATCCTCCCACCTGTCTCCTGAGTAGCTAGGACTTTAGGTGCACACCAGCATACCTGGCTAATTGTGTATTTTTTGTAGACATGGTGTCTTACTGTGTTACCCAGGCTGGTCTTCTTGGCTCAAGCCATCCTCCTGGCTCGGCCTCCCAAAGTGCTGAGCTTAAAGGCATGAGCCATCATGTCCAGCATCAGCTTTATTTTTTTAATGCTGACTTACTGCAGAAGGCCCAAGGGCCAGTGCAGGCAGTATCTGGCCAGAATGTGCATGCATGCGTGTGTGTGTGTGTGTGTGTGTGTGTGTGTGTGTGTTGTGTGTTTGTGAGATGTTAGGCATCAGCACAGGGGCATCCTAGGGTGTGGGGTGTGTGTGTGTGATGTTAGAAGATATTAGCACAGGAGCATCCTGGTTGTGTGTGTGTGTATCTGTGTGAAGATGTTTGACGGCATTAGCATGGGGGCATCCTGGCATGGAAGGTCTGTGCCTCCATTTTTGTTGCTTTGGTGTAGGAAATGCTTATTTTTTTGCTTCTGTATGGGGCAAATGATAGTAAAAGCCCTGAGTTATTCTGTTTCTCTTTGAAAAATGCCAAAATGTAACATCTGTCGTTTTCCTCCCTAAATTGAAGGAATTTTTCCCTAAAGCTAAAAAGCAGGTAGGAGATCCCCTAGTGGTTGGGCTGAAATTTGCAAATTAAATTTTTTTTCTTGGATTGAACCAAATGACTGCTTGGAAAAACTTACTTTATTTTTTCAATTTACTTTTTTTTTTTTTTTGAGATAGTCTCGCTCTGTTGCCCAGGCTGGAGTGCAGTGGAGCAGTCTCCACTTACTGCAACCTCCACCTCTCGGGTTCAAGGGATTCTCTTGCCTCAGCCTCCCAAATAGCTGGAATTACAGGCACATGCCACCATGCCCGGCTAATTTTTATATATATATTTTTAGAGATGGCGTTTCACCATGTTGGCCAGGCTGGTCTCAAACTCCTGACCTCAAGCAATCTGCTCGCCTCAACCTCCAAAAGTGCTGGGATTACAGTTGTGAGCCACTGGGCATGGCCTGGAAAAACTTATTATGAAACAGTAAGAAATTAGTTTGGATAAGAACATTGGAAGGAGAGGATGGGAAGCATTTTGTAGTATCATTTGCAGCTGGATGACATTGCATCTGGTAAAAATAAGGAAAAACAAGTGAGCATTTGGCTCTGAAATCAGTCTGTGTTCTCATTCTAAATTACAGAATTACAAGAATGGTGATTAGGAACCCCTGGTTTAGAGGTGTGTGTGTGCAGGCCAGGTGAATCTTTTAATGGATAACAAGGATGAGTTGAGTCAAATGTGAGTCAGGTATAAATGAAGACAGTTTCATTACCTTTAGTGGAGAGGCCATAACTAATAATTTTTAATGACCAGTTGTGAGCTGTGAGTTTAATGGGATTAAAGTTGAATATTTCCATATATGTATTAATTACATTCAATTAAGTAATCATTATGTGCTAGTTATTATTTTAAAGACTACATATATTAAGTCTCTATCTGACCAATAATGAAGTAGGCACTATTAGTGGCTCTATTTTGTAGATGGGGACACAGGTGTAGGGAGATTAAAGGCCTTGCCTAAAGCCAGGCACTCTGCCTCAGGTCCCACGTCTCACCAGGCTGCCAGGTGCCTGGGCTTTCTACTCTTTTGCTCACAATTAGTGCCGGCCTCATTCTGGCCTCAGGTGGCTGGTATATGACTGTGGGCAGATGGTTGGGTCCTAATTGATGAGGATATCTGGCTAATAAGATTGTTTTTTACATTTTGCTAATCTTATCTTGTAGGCCTTAGAACTTAAAGTGCTGTACAAGTCTGTCTCAATTTACAAAACAGGTGGATCAGAGAGGTTGTATACAAATTGAATAGAAAGTGAAGTTCATATGACCAGAATGCCCTTTTTAAAAAAAAAAAAATAGAATCTTGCTCTGTCACCCAGGCTGGAGTACAGTGGTGCAATCTTGGCTCCCTGTAACCTCCACCTCCTGGGTTCAAGTGGTTCCCCTGCCTCAACCTCCCCAGTAGCTGGGATTACAGGCATGAGCCACCACTCCCGGCTAATTTTTGTATTTTTAGTAGAGACGCGGTTTTGCCATTTTGGCCAGGCCGGTCTGGAACTCCTGACTTGGGGTGATCTGCCTGCCTTGACCTCCCAAAGTGCTGGAATTAGAGGCATTATGAATGGACCTGGCACAGAATGCCTCTTAAATTTTGCAGCCAAGCTGGGTACGGTAGCTCACACCTGTAATACCAGCACTTTGGGAGGCTGAAGCAAGAGGATCGCTTGAGCCCAGGAGTTTGAAACCAGCCTGGACAATGTGGCAAAACCCTGTCTCTAAAACAAATTAGCTGGGCTTAATAGTGCATGCCTGTAGTCCCAGCTGCTGGGGAAGCTGAGGTGGGAGAATCATTGGAGGCCGGCATGTAGAGGCTGCAGTGAACCACACACCACCAGCCTGGACAGCAGAGACTATCTCAAAAAAAAAAAATAATTTTACAGTCTTTTAAAGCAGGTAGTTTCCTCCAGTATTTAAAAATCTAAAAAGCCAAAAAGGATCTTTAAAAAAATCTAGTCCAAGTTGCTCGCTTTATAGATGAAGAAATAGAACCCTGGAAGAGAACAGTGACTTAGCCTTTGTGTTTCCTGTCAAATTCAATCTCATTCAAACTATCCGAAAAGTGCTTAGAAGGAAGCAAAGGGTGTTGCTATGAATTTAAAGAGATCGTAAACAAAACAAAAACAAAAAAATTGGAGATCCGTGGGTCAATAAATTGGTTATCTAGCCAGAGCCTTTCTGAAATTAATATGCCAACAGGATGTTTGTTCCTGGATGTTTGCTTAAAGCACTGTTGCAACAGTGGGCCATCTATTGCACAATAGTGAGCCTTTATCTTTTGATAAAAATTAACAGGAAAAATATCCTTGGATTTTCCATTGTAAGATAAATTCTTACCCTGGAGTTGCCTCTATTAATCATAGTATCAAGACATTTGTCTTTGAAGGCCTGTGTGTCAGGACGAGGCCATGTCTAGGAGGTTAAATGTGACAGACGTTAAGTAGTCCACGTAAAGCCAAGAGCACTAGGCTTTGAGCTCCTATAAAAGCCCAAAATGGGCAGTCTTAAATTTTGCATCTTTTCTCTGTCTGTGGCCAGGTCAGCATGGATCCTCATCCTTTTTATTTGACAGGGTAATTACAAGGGTGGGGCCCAAGTTAGTACTAAGATGCTAAAGCCCTGCATAGCCAAGAAGCTTCTAGGTAGTTTATGGTTTGGGGCAGAGTTTGTTCTTCCACTAAAATCCTCCTGTCTCCTAAAACAAACCAAAAATTAGAATTAGGGAAGCTAAGAATGATAACAGGATTTTTTTTGGCTGGGGGTGGTGGCTCACACCTGTAATCCCAGCATTTTGGGACGCCAAGGTTGAGGGATCACAAGGTCAGGAGTTCAAGACCAGCCTGGCCAATATGGTCAAACCCTGTCTCTACTAAAAACACAAAAATTAGCTGGGCGTGGTAGCATGCACTTTATAATCCCAGCTACTCAGGAGGCTGGGCAGGAGAGTTGCTTGAACCTGGGAGGTGGAGGTTGTGGTGAGCTGAGATTGCCCAGCCTGGCCAACAGAGTGACTGTCTCAAAAAAAAAAAAAAAGAATAAGGAACTTATTTGCCATATGCCATATTGGAGTTAAGGTGTCCAAAATTACATCTCCACAGAGGTTAGATTTACTTCCCCTTTCACTCCTACCCCCCAAAAAGAAGAGCGAAATTCATTTCTGCATTTGAGGGAATCTGGCCTTTGGAGTTTAGTGTGTAGTTGCCATTGTGAAAGGGAAAGTGTCAGGATGGTTTTCACGTTTGTCTTTTAAAACAAAAAAAAAAAACCAAAAAAGAATGATACTGTTGGCAGAGATCTCACATTTGTTCATTCAGCGAACACCCTGAGTGCCTACTAAGTGCCAGGTATTTATTATTGCTCCTGACAGTGGCCAGCACACCTGGATATGTGTTATCTTGAAAGAACAAATGCTGGGTAGCAGAAAGAAGGAGACGAAGAGTTGAGAAAACTTCAAAGAAGGGAACATTTGAGTTAAGGATAGTAAGTTTTTATTGAATGACCATCTAGGCTGTGTCACAAAAGCCAGCTGGACATGCCATCTGCTGCTGGGGTGGGAGCAGGGCTGATTAATGACAGGCTTCTCCAGTGTATTTTCAGAGGATTTGGAGCCAAGCCTGTTGAGGTCAGGTGGCGATAATTCATCATGATCGTTTTCTTTTTCAGTTTAGAAACCTGCTGAAGTGGTATGCTAAGGAGTTCAAAGACCCGCTGCTACAGGAGCCCCCAGCCTGGTTTAAGTCCTTTCTCTTCTGTGAGCTTGTGTTTCAACTGCCTTTCTTTCCCATTGCAACATATGCCTTTCTCAAAGGTTGGTAAATGGTGGGAAAATGCGATTTTTACTCAGGAATCAGGTCCCAGAAATCTTCTAGGAAAGTATCTCCAACAGTAAGGGGATGGCCCCCATAGTTTGTGGGAGGATGCCATAGGATCTGGGGAAATAGCCAGGGTAGATCTTGTAAAGGGATGTTAGTGTGGCTGTGGCTCAGGCTCATGTCTGTAGTCAGCGGGGCTGCATGGCTGCCTCACTTGTCTGGAGATTTCTCAGCATACACATGAAACCTGAGGCCACTTAAACAATGAGCTTGTTCCCTTTTGTTTTGTTCCCCAACAGAATTAATTTCCCTTTTTGTTGGCTTATTTCTCTGCATTGAATAGTATCACACTGACTTATAAGCTGTAGCATCAGGCTAATCCCTAACGTGCTTCTCATTTTAAAATTATTCTTAGTGTTCTTACAATCAATACCTTTTAAAGAAGGTGACCATACACATGTACTTGATAATGAAGCTAGAACAGCTGAAAATGCTTATTTCCCACTGGCATCCTCTGGGGTCACTGAATATGCCTCCTGATCCTCTCACCTATATAATTACTGAACAAACAGATGCCATGGGGCAGGGATTTCCCCCCCCTTGCATTTTATACCACACAGGTTTCACAGGTAACAGCACTTTTATTGCCCTAGAGTTTTTCTGAGTTATGTTCTGGCCTCATTCTTGGTTCTTTGGCAAACCATCAGTGAGCTGTCACATAAGTCTGCATGTTGGGCAGTGTGGCACATCCAGTTTTCCAGTTACAAGTTCCCACTTGGAGAAGGGAGTAGAAGAGAGCAGGCAGAGACAGTGGGAAGGTCATGGATGCCTTGGAGTCATGAACAGACCTAATCACTTTTCTTTCCCCTATCTTAGGAAGCTGCAAGTGGATTCGAACCCCTGCAATCATCTACTCAGTTCACACCATGACAACTTTAATTCCAATACTCTCCACATTTCTGTTTGAGGATTTCTCCAAAGCCAGTGGTTTTAAAGCACAAGGACCTGAGACTTTGCATGAACGGTTAACCCTTGTATCTGTCTATGCCCCCTACTTACTCATCCCATTTGTTCTTTTAATTTTCATGCTCCGGAGTCCCTACTACAAGTATGAGGAGAAAAGAAAAAAAAAATGACGGAAACAACCACTGGCCCAGGGTAGACATGCCTACAGGGCAGTTGCTTGTTGGATACAAGGAACACTGCTCAGAATCCACGTCGTCAGCAGCATTTGAAACACTGGCAACAACATACAAGAGCAAGATGGTATCAGGAACCATGTCAAACCCTCTTTTTTTAAAAAAAAAAAAAAAAAAAAAAAAAAAATTTAAAGACAATCTCACTCTTGCCCAGGCTGGAGCGAGGGGCAGCGGCATGATCTCGGCTCACTGCAGCCTCTGCCTCCTGGGCTCAAGTGATCCTCCTTAGCCTCCCAAGTACCTGGAACTATGGGTGTACACCACCACGCATGGCTTTTTTTTTTTGAGACGGAGTTTTGCTCTTATTACCCAGGCTGGAGTGCAATGGCACAATCTCGGCTCACCGCGACCTCCGCCTCCTGGGTTCAGGCAATTCTCCTGCCTCAGCCTCCTGAGTAGCTGGGATTACAGGCATGTGCCACCATGCCCAGCTACTTTTTTGTATTTTTAGTAGAGACAGGGTTTCACCATGTTGACCAGGATGGTCTCGAACCACCCGCCTCGACCTCCCAAAGTGCTGGGATTACAGGCTTTAGCCATCGCACCCGGCTTTTTTTTTTTTTTTTTCCTGTGGAGACAAGAGTTTTGCCATGTTGCCCTGGTTGGTCTTGAACACCTAGGTTCAAGGGATCTGCCCACCTCAGTCTCCCTAAGTGCTGGGATTACAGATGTGACCATCTCAGTCTCCCTAAGTGCTGGGATTACAGATGTGTCCACCTCAGTCCCCTTAAGTGCTGAGATTATAAATGTGAGCCACTGGGCCCAGCCCAGACTTTCACCTTCTGAGGGAACTGAGAGGAACAGACTGATTGGCTTAGAGTGGGGAAAGGGATGTGGGCTGGGTTATAGGGAAGTGGTACTAAATACCTGACTATACGCCTAAATTCCGCTGCAAGATTATTAAAGCAGGTCCAGACTAGAAACTGCTAAAGAACACGGCCTGCTTGACATTTTCATGAGTCACCTGACCCACAGGATATATGTTGCTTATGACTAAACCCTCCACTCCTGATTCCCTAGAGTATATCACCTGTCAGCAACATGAACAGTGCAACGTTTGGGGCCATTTTAAAATGTGAAATTTTGCCTCTGTAATATTAATTCAAAGCTATGTCATGTTTTCTTGTCCCCACCTCTAACCCAAGGAAAAAAGAGAAAATACTATGCAAAGGAAGTTTAGTTTTCTTAAGGTTTAGCCCTAAAATGACTTTCAGTCAGAAATGGGTTAGACTGGAAAATGTTTTTGTTTCTGTTGTAAACAGATCATCCTAGGAGATTTTTGTTTTGTTTTTGAGACAGTCTTGCTCTGGACAACTGGCATGATCTTGGCTCAATGCAGCCTCTGCCTCCTGGGTTCAAGTGATTCTCCTGCCTCAGCCTCCTGAGTAGCTGGGGACTACAGGCGCACGCCACCACGCCCAGCTAATTTTTGTATTTTTAGTAGAGATGGGGTTTTACCATGTTGGCCAGGATGGTCTCGATGTCTTGACCTCATGATCCACCCACCTCGGCCTCCCAAAGTGTTGAGATTACAGGCGTGAGCCACTGCGCCCAGATGTCTTTAAGTTACTTTATTTCTAAATCTTGGTCTTCAACGTTTCTAGAGGCCACCTGACACAAGTCCCTTTATCTGAAGTCTGGCATCTCAAGCCTGATCTGGAAGTGTGCTCCCTAGTGGATAACTTCATCCTTCTAATATAGTTCAGTCATTCCCATCTTGTTCTCAGAAGGGAAGGTGGCCATAGCCAGGCATAACATAGCCACTGTGTGCATATAGGGTCTCTTCGTGTTGGTGCTTCACATTCCATCAGCTTTCTCTAAGTCTGTGCTCAAGTCCAACCTTCAAATGATGTTAGAGAGCAGGTCCCAGTCGGTTCCCTCAATTTTCACCCACTTTGCTCACAAGCCATATTGGTCTGATTAGTGGTATTGTCTTGACTCGCATGTCTGATCCAAATAAATGTAGCTGCTGAACACTGCCTGGTTTGTTTTGTGGACCGGGGGATAGGGAATCCAGGGTTCTCTCACAATGGGTTAAACATACTTCAAGGGCAACAGGAAAAAAGGTACATCAAGCAATTTGAAAACAAAAATTTATTGCTTCTCCTTCCAAAGCTTTGTAAATTTACAAAAAAAGGACCAAAGTTTACAAACTGCTTAGTTCCAACTAAGCATAAGAGGTGAGAACTTGCACTGCGTGGCTACCAGCAGCAGCTGTGTGCTGATGTTTAAAAATGGGCTCCCCCAGACTTGGGGCTGCCTTCCTTACACGCCACCTCTTGTGACATAGGTCACTGGTCAAGCCGCTGGAATGGTACAGAGGTTTTTTTGGTTTTGAGGAGCTTTTTTTGTTTTGCCTTCCTGCTATAAAAGTGAAATTTTCAGTTCATTTCTGAAAAATAAATTGGTCAATAAATTCATTTTGTTCTGCTTCTACTTTACACAAAGCTTCATATTCAACCCGATACCTGAAAAACAAAATTGTTAGAGGCCCTGAAAAAAGGATGAAGTAAACCACAGACTTAATTTTTTCTAGAGAAGTAGAGGTTTACATGATTTCAAGAAATGGTGTGAGTTCAGAATGAAGAAAGATAGAGGCGAAGCCCTACCCAGAGCCACCCATGAGTAATCTCCAGCCCTAGGAAAGTCTTTCTGAGAGCCAGCCAACTTCGTGGACCCTTTCATGCTCAAACGACTAGAGGTGGTTTGATACTAAGTTTTCTATTTCCTTCCCATCAAATGTAATTTTATTTTTAAAAATCTTCAAATCAGGATGACAAGTGAGATGCTATTCCTGGGAAAATGATGAAGAATAAGGGACAAGAAGTAATCATTCCAGAAGGAAGAGTAGAAATTCAGCTGTGTAAAGAACTTGCTTTACATCTTGACTTCTTACCTTTCTAGCTGCATTTTCTTTTCTGCTATTAGTGCTTGAAGTTGCTGCTGCTGAGCTTCTCTCTGCTTTGCTATAGATTTGAGCAAGTTCCGAGCACCGATGGCCTACAGTATTGCCAGAGAAGGCCATGGCTTCATTAAAACCCATCTACAGCATGAAGTCCTCAAAGTGGGGAGGGGTCATCTGGGAGCTATGTCAGTCTCCAGAGAGGAAAAGAAAGCAGAGCCCCAAAGCTTTTGGGTTAAATCAGAAGCATTAACCTACTGATCACGAAGTGCCTCAAGAACTTGACAGCAGCTTTGAGGCGGGTCTAGGAGTATTCCTAGAGCCAGGCACAATGGCACATTCGTTGGTGCCATTCAGCCTTGTGGCTTTCACCAATCATACTGTAAGCCTTCATCTCTTCATTTATAAAATGAGGTTAAAACCATCTACATCAGTGACGATATGAAGATTAAAGGAGGCCAGGTGTGGTGGCTCACGCCTGTCATCCCAGCACTTTGGGAGGCCAAGGTGGGCAGATCACTTGAGGTCAGGAGCAAGACCAGCCTGGCCAACATGGTGAAACTCCATCTCTATTAAAAATACAAAAAAATTAGCTGGGTGTGGTGGTGCACACCTGTAGTCCCAGCTATTCGGGAGGCTGAGTTGGGAGAATTGCTTGAACCCAAGAGGCGGAGGTTGCAGTGAGCCGAGATTGCGCCACTGCACTCCAGCCTAGTGACAGAGTGAGACACTGTCTTAAAAAAGGAAATCCTAAGTTCAGTAGGTTAAATGGACCAGAAGTTATTAAAAGCTTAATTAAATAACCCACCCACCCCTCTAAACAAATCAAGAGGGAAGAAGGATGAGAGGCTAGTGAACTAGGGTCCCAGGCCAAGATGTAGGCAGAAGACATGCTGATCTTACCTTCATCTTTTCATTTTCTGCTTCTTTTGCAAGTTGATCAACAAGCTCAATTAAACCACCAACTATTTTCTGAAACTGGCCAATTTCTTTTAGGAAAAGAACAAAAAATAAAATATTTCTTAAGTATCATTACTCTCCCTCAGCAGAGGGCTGAGGCAGTGAGAAGGCAGAGCTGACTGCCCTTCTGATGTGTGTCAGAATAGTTTGGCGCTGAGCCAGGCATGGTGGTAAACATCTGTAGTCCCAGCTACTCAGGAGGCTGAGGTGGGAGGATCACTTGAACCCACAAGTTTGAGGATGTACGCTTTGATCATGCCTGTGAACTGCCACTGCGTTCCAGCCTGGGCAACATAGCGAGTCCCTGTCACTTAAACACATTGGTGCCTGTTGGCCTATGTCTCCCACCCTTGATCTGAACCTAGAGAAGGGTGGCCAGCTGAACCAGGGCATACCCGGACCTTGCGTCCCCACTGAGCCAGCTGCTGTGACCTCAGGCTTTGAAAGCTTTACGCCCTTGTTGGGCTCATCCTCCAGACAGACCCCAACCCTGCTTCTCTGGGAGTGACAGGAAGCGCTGTTGTTCACAAAATGGCAGCCTCAGGACACAAGCACTGCCTCTGGACTAGCTACAGGTATGACAGCAGGTTTCAATTAATGGTGGGGATGGGGCTTCCCACTTGTAACCACAGTAAATAAAGAACTCACAGCATTTAAGTGCCTAATCTCCCATTCATTATTTCCAATGTCCTGCATGTGACAAACACAATTTACTGAGGGAAAACTAAGGCCTAGAAAAATGTGTGCGTGGCATAGCCATCATAGGTTAGTGACAGAACCCGAGCTACCTTTCACTAGTCACGCTCTCTCCACAACCTAGGAAGGCCCCAAAAGTTCAGAAATCCCTTGCTCTAACTAGATCTGGCTCTGTACTGGCATCAGGCTTGCTTGGCTGCTGGGACAAGAGGCCTCCTGAATGTCTCTAGCCAAAAGATGACGTCAGTCTGTTGAACTGCTTCTAGAAACTTCACTTACCACTTTTAACTCCAAATAACAGAGAACCTGCCACTGAGAAGACTCTGAAGAAATCAAATGAGTACATAATGCTGTTTTCCACCCCAAGCCATGGTTGTGTTCCCATGAAATTTAAGGTTTCTAAGAGCAAGAAATGAAAGGTGGCATATCTAAAAGCACCTCCCCGCCCCCATCCCAGTGTTTGGTTTGACTGGTGCTCTGCTGGGGACCACATGAGAGCATAAGAGGCGAGTAGAGAAATCCATGGGAACTCAAGAAACAGCAGGCTCAACCTCCAGGGACCCAGCAGCTCCGTCGTAGCGGGGCCAAGAGCTGCAGTCAGGGATAAGCATGGGGTACAGCTGGAATGCCGGCTCAAAGCTGAGTGGCACAGTATCTCCCCAAATGATACTCACTGTCCACAAAGTCTTTGCACTCTTCCTTCAGCTCTATGGTCTGCTGAGTAACCTCTGGGTCCAATACCCGCAGCTTGTTCAGTTCATCAAAGTGCAGCCCTGCTTCACCCAGGATGTCCTTGGCCATAGCTGCAAAGAAACCAGCCCAATCCCTAATCACTCCCCAGACACCCATGGAAATTCCTGCTGCCAAGCCAGCCCCACTCCTACCGTTGGACACCAATGCCAAAAACCCAGATGTTCCAAAGACTCCCTGTTCCCTCTGCCACCACGTCACTGAGCCTCACCTGTTTCCCATCCGGGTTCCCTAGAGGAGTTCTGCTCTGAAGGAGTGACAGTGGCAGTCAGGAGGAGGTGTGTCATAGGAGCAAGGGTCAGGAAAGAATAAAGTCCGCTTGCTTGTCACAGGCATCGTTCATTCCACACACATTTCTTGAGTGCCTACTACATGCCAACACTACTAGATGCTGGGGGTACAAAGATGAATGCGACGCGATCCCTGCCCTGGAAGAACACACAGGTTAGCTGGGGGAAAGCAGACATGGAAACTGAAAAGTCATACTGTGTTAAATGCTTGTTTAGAAACATCAGTAAAGGGCTGGAAGAGGACAGAGCCATTCATGAAAGTGACAGCTGAACTAAGTTGTGAGCCCTAAGTGTACTGACTTTATATATCACCAGTTATGTACCCAGAAGCACATGAGAAGGCTTCTTAAAGACATACACTTAAAGCAAATAAAAGAAGAGATCTGCATGAATTAAAAATTATGGCTAAAAAATACAAAGGAGTAAGAATATTACTCAAAATGTATGGTACAGTATATTGTACACTTGGGAATCAAAGTTGGGTCATTCTCTTTCTAGCAGAAAACACAAAAAGGAATGAAATATCAGCAAGAACATATCAAGTCAAGAGGCCAGGGATGGGTATTCCAAAAAGAAAACAGCATGGACAAAGGCGTTAAGTCACTGAAAGGACCAATCCTGCCTAAGAATGAAAGGAAAAAGCATGGAGCTGGAAAGGTGGGCTGCAGCCAGAGCAGGAAGACCCCGTATGCCAAGCTAAGGAGTTTGGATTTCTGTCTGTAGGCAACAGAGAACTAACAAAGATATCTTCTCCCTTTCCAGGCCACCTTGCATTTTTGATCCAAAGGATGCCTCAATTCTGGAAAGGAAATACTGAAAAGTCATCCTCATTCTGGCTCAAAAAATTCCACACATACACAAAATTAAAAATAGACAGCGTATGACCTGTTAAAAAAGGGAGGCAATGCTAGTTACATCTAGCAATTGGCTGCTATGCCAATTCTAAAACCCAGGTGCTCCAAAGGCTACCATCACCTGGACCTGCACCAGCACCTCCCCTCTGCCCCCAGTGTCCCCAGCCTCACCTGTTTCCCTTCTTACTTCCTTGGAGAAGTCCTGTTCTGATTGGGTGATTCTGTGGGTGTCTGTCCAGGTGCCACAGGAGGAGCAATGGTTAGAAAAGAATTAAGTCTCACTCTTTCCAGAACTACTTCTGGTTTTCAAGAGGACCAGAAATCCAATGTCTCAATGTTGGTATGTATATCAAAAATTTAAAGTAAGGGGAAAAACCCACCAACACTGTGTGGGCCAACTAAAACATATCTATGGGCTGTCTGTATACGACTCTGGTCTTTGGCCTCAAGGGAATTCACTGATGTAAGTGAGCTAGCATCTTCATTTTGAAGCATTTTAATCATCCGTAGCTTCCTTATAATAGTGCTTTAAAAAAAAGATCTGGTTGGCTGGGCTCGGCGTCTCACGCCTGTAATCCTAGCACTTTGGGAGGTCGAGTCAGGTGGATCATGAGGTCAGGAGTTCAAGATCAGCCTGACCAACATGGTGAAACCATGTCTCTACTAATACAAAAATTAGCTGGGTGTGGTGGCATGCACCTGTAATCCCAGGCTGAGGCAGGAGAATCACTTGAGCCCCAGAGGTGGAGGTTGCAGTGAGCCGAGATCACACCACTGCACTCCAGCCTGGATGACAGAGCAAGACTACGTCTCAAAAAAAAAATTCTGGCCAGTGAGGTACTCATGCCTATAATCCCAGCACTTTGAGAGGCTAAGGTGAGAATATCACTTGGGCATAGGAATTTGAAACCAGTCTGGGCAATGTGGCAAAATACTAACTCTACAAAAAGTTTTTTAAATAGCCGGGCCTGTAGTCCTAGCTACTTGGGAGGCTGAGCTGGGAGGATCGCTTGAGCCCAGGAGGTAGAGGCTGCAGTGAGCTGTGTTCACACCACTGCACTCCAGCCTGGGCAACAGAGTGAGAGAGACCCTGTCTAAAAAATTAAAAATAATAAAAAAAAAATCTTTTGCAGCTATGAGGTCATTAATCTGACCAGCTGCTCCAGAAAGATTCAAGTAACATGGAGCAAACAACCGATTCAACTTCCACTCCCCTCCCTAAGAGCATGCATTTATTCAGAAACGCCCACTGAGTCCGTGCTGTGGGGATATGTGAAGTGCAGCAGGAGGACACAGTTCACGGGGGGCGGTGTTGGAGGGGAATGCCAACAGAGGCCTTCTGAAAAAATGATGTAACTGAGACCTAAAGACTGTTCAAAAGCTTGTCAAGCGAAAGGGGAAGCAAGGCAGTGCAGGCAGAAGAAAACAAATATGTGAAGATCCTGAGGTAAGAGGAAATCTGATGCATTCCAAGAACTGAAACTGAGCAAGAGAATCAACAGGGTGAGGCTACATAGGGAGGGAAGAGCCTTCCGTGGAAGGCTCTAAAAGAGGCAGTAATGGGCAGCCAGCGGGTTCTCGGCAGACCAACAGAGGCGATTTAGAAAGATCGCTTTTGCTCAGCCTGGAGAACGATTGAAGGGAACGAGAGGGCAAGGCCCTACCTACCTTATTCATCACTGTAACCCTGGCACCTAGCATGTGCCCACACATAACTGGCACTCAGTAAATGTTTGTGGAATGAATGACCGTGTAAACAGATAGGAGACTATTACAGTAACCAAGGCTGGCAGCTGAAGACAAGTGTTCCGAGTTGAGATGTTTTGTAAGTCGAGTTGACGGGACTCAGTAGGGGCTGACTGAATGTGGAGGTTTGAGGATAAGAGAAAAATGAGTCAGGCCTGACTCCCGGGAATCGGACTTGGCCCCTATCTGATGGAGGGGCTAGCTTAAAAAGGTAAGATGGAAGAAGGGGTGCAGGGAAAGAGTTCGCAGATTCTCTACCAGCTCCCACCACATGCGTGTCTGAGCATCTGAGCAACACCTGGCCCAAGAGCTAGGACTCCGCTCCCTGAGTATCTGCGGCGGCACTCTCTGCGCCCCGGCTCTCCCAGCCGCGCGCGAGGCCTGCGAGCCGACTCTCTACTCTGTGAACTCCCCGAACTTATCCGAGCCGCAGTTTCCTCATCAGATCGTCGCAAGCATCAACGCATCAAACTCCAGGCCTAAGCTGAATGGGCAGGCACCCCTGGAGAGTGGGGCGCAATTCCCACGTCTCTTTCCGCTCGGGACTACCTTTCTTCAGGACGGAGGCCTGTCAGGCTCCGGTCGCCCCCGATCCGCCCGCGTCCCCCTACCCGAGGTCAGCCTACCTGCCGGCCCCGCGGCGGCAGCGCACTGCAGCCCAAGCTGATGTAGACCGCAACTTCTCCCGGGTCGGCGGTAGCCGGTACCCAGCCAGCCTGTCAGGGTCGCTGCCACGGCTACAGAACCTGTTTACCCACGACGTCACTACCTTTCTGACCCCGGAAGCACTTACAGTCCCCAAGCCACGGAGCCTGCTGGGAAACAGAGGCCCGAGGGAAGGCCGGGCCTACAAGACGCTGAAGCCTTAGCGCCGGCAGGGCAGCCAGAAGTGGCTTTGCCCTTACCGCGAAGACTCTCGGGGGATTCCGCCTCCACCCTTCCCGGATAGAACGCTAGGCATGCCGGGCCTTGTAGTCTCAGGCTCCACAGCCGGCGGGGCTGGGCCGCACTCCGGGCGGAGTCAGCGAGCGCAGGATGTGAGCTCACAGCCCGGGACTGTTGGTGGGCAGGCGGCCGCAGGCTAGGGGCGGCTCGGAGTCCACTGGCCCCCTAGCTGAGAGGAGAGACGCCCCCAGGGACGGTGAGAGCGGGGCCCGCTGATGCCCTCGGGGAAGGGATGGACTGCCCCTGCTGGAGCAAAGCGAGCCTGGCCGGGTGCTGGGGAAAAGGCGTGGGGGGCGGCGTAGGGGAGATGGAGAGGTCCGATCTCTCACGGAGGGTGGTCGTGAGAACCGGTGTGGGTTTCCCGGTAGTGAGAAGTGGCCCGAGCTAGGGAAGAGCCCACACCGACCACATTTCCCAGGACTTTTTGGGTGATGCTTAACCTTTACACTTAGGGTTTCTGCTAGATCCGCCCACTCCAGCCCTCAGCTTTCCCCACGCCGTCCTCCGTGTCTGGCGGATTTCTGGGTCCTTCTTCCTTTTAGACCCCACCTCTTTCCACCGCTGCGGCTGTTCGCCCTTTGTTCTGCTTGGGTTTCCATTAGCTTCGCTGAGTGAGCCATGGATCCGCCCCTAGCCCCAGGCATCTCCAATATCCACTCCCAAAGTGCGGAAGGAAGAGCACTGTGGCTATCAGTGGAAACTTCATTCTCACTGGAATTACCTTCTGGGGCGTCACCGGCCACAGGATTCCTGGAACCAATTGGTCTGGGCGGAATCTGATTGACGTCATCCAGGGGCTCAAAGCAATTGCTCTGTAGGAAAGGAATAGATTAGCTCTGAATCCGTCGACCTTTCTTGGCAGGCCTATCCTTTGAGTTCCTTTGCTTTGGCAGAACATATATGTGTGTTTTCTTTGATACTGGGAAAACTGGGGCTAGACGCAGAATACACAGGGAACTTGCTAATACCTGTTAGGGAGGTGGATTTATTCCTTTGAGGTGGGAGTAAAAAGGGAAGGTGATCTCATACCATTCTATTGTTTCTTAGTCACTGGCAGCCTCCTGGTGAGGGCTCACCTCCCATACCCAATCCCTGTGGCAAATGAAAGGGTCTCCCAGACAACCCGCCAAAGTAATTCACTGCTTCACACAGCACCCACTCTGGCTGTCCACTTCCTTGGACATTTTTCCCAGGGACATTTTACCTAAATGTTTTCAGGGACAATTTCAATCTAACAAAATGACATATGTTAAATATTTAAAATGTGCATGGCACTGTGCTAAGCACGGTTAGGGGACACAGCAGTAAACTTGGGAAACCAATGTCTTGCTTCTGGGTTGCACTTACAAGAGATGAGCGACTCTAAACTCCCGCATGTGATGAGCAGTCAGTGAAATCATTCCACTTTTTTTCTGTCTCCATTATCACCACTGTGGTCCAGGCTGCCATCATCTCTTCTTGCCTAGACTACTGCTTCCTCTGGTCTTCCCACTTTCTCTCTTGCACCTTTACAATTCATTCTCTACCCAGCAGCAAGTTATCTTTTTCAAAATACGCTACAAGCAAGTCAGATCATATCACTCCCTTGCCTGCAGTCCTCCGATTGATTCATATCCTATATTGCAATTAGTATAAAATCCAAACTGTGAAATCATCTAGCCTTTCCTGACTTGATCCCAAACCAGCTTTTCCCTACTTTCTGTGCATCAGCTGTTAGGACCTTATTTCTGATCCTAAAACTTGTTTCTTTTTGTTGTTGTTGAGATGAGATTTCCTTATGTCACCCAGGCTGACCTGCCCAGGCTCAAGCAATCATCCCGCTTCAACCTCCTCAGCAGCTGGGACCACAGGCACGAGCCACCATGTTTGGCTAGTTTTCTTATTTGTAGAGACAGTCTCACTGTGTTGCCCAGACTGGTCTTAAACTCCTGGGCTCAAGCAGTCCACCTGCTTTGGCCTCCCAAAGTGCTGGAATTACAGGCGTGAGCCACCACACCAGGCCCCTAAAACTTGTTTCTAACACGAACTTGTACTTACTCTTCTGCCTGTCTAGAATGCTCTCTTCAAACCTCAGCTGAAATGTCACCTTCCCAAAGATGCTTTTCCTGGCCCTCTGTCTGAATTAATGCCTCTCCCTAATCACTCTCTTATCACTGTTTCATTATCTTTATTGCATTCCTCACCTTCTGGAATTATCTACTTATTTATTCAGGTACTTACTTATAGTCTCCTTCCACTAAAATGTAAGGTCCATGCGGACATGACTTTCTGTATTTGTTCTCTCCTGAGTACCCAGTGCCTGACATGTAGGAGTCAGGCACTGGGTACTCAGGTACAACAAATGCTAACTCTCTTTTTAAAAATTCCTGTTAACATTATGATGCCTCTTTGAACTGTTTGAAGGCAAAGACAGTCTCTTTTCACCATTCCCTACTGCCTAGCATAGCAGGGTACTCAATAATTTAATTGCTGAATGAGTTAAATGGGCTAATATATATTAAATGCCAAGAATGGTACCAGGCACACAGTAAGCATTGCAGTGAATTTTAGATAGGTTGTTTCTCTAGCAAATGGATTTTAGTGATGCTGTAGAAAGCCAAAAACATAATATAAAAGCTAAATCTCGAGGAGTAACTGGTTTTGCTTTCTTTTCTCCTCCTTCCTATGAACTCCTGTTAGTGTTTGAATTTCCAAATCACTTTATTATTTTTATTTTATTTTTCTTTCTAGAGATGGGGTCTTGCTATGTTTGCCCAGGCTGGTCTTGACTCCTGGGCTCAAGCAGTCTCCCACCTCAGCCTACTGAGTAGCGGGGAGTATAGGCATGTGGCAGCACACAGCGTACCTCATTGTTTTTAGATTTGTCATCTGATCTTTTCTAGTCCTTTCTTCTGCCATTCTTATTGGGAGGTACGAGAGTAGGGCTGAGCTCCCTCTCAGGAAAAAGAGACAAAAATAGCCATCTATATTCTTCCCTGAAAAATGGTGACAGTTTCAGGAACTTGGGACAAGGCTGGTGCCAAGAAAAGGGAAGGTCAGAAAGCCCCAGCTGAAGCCCAGGTAACCTACGTCAAGAACGCTGGCCAGCGCCCTCCACCCTGGCTCACTGCCTTCTCTCCTGAAGCTGCTTTTACTTTCCTTCCTGAAGCCAGACTCTCGGTGGTGCTCAGAATAAACACTGGCGCAGACTGCTCCTGAGGCTGGAATCTTTAGAAAGGAAGTGCATCCTGTCCCTCTGGCTCCTGGGAAACTCCTAGGCTGGCTGGATTCCCAGTAGGCTTGGCTGAAAGTCTGGGATCCTGGGAACCTTGACAAGATGGTCACCGGAATCGGACCGGTAGATGCCTAGGGTGTTCTGTTCCTCTGGCCCTCTCTGACTGGTTCCATGGGTTTGCTTGTCTTCCATGCTGCCCTGAGTGGAGCTGAGTCTCAGGGAGGCTGGTGAGGTGACCAGGGCAGGGATCTGGGAGACTGCTCCCAGCCCCGGTTCCTGGTATAGTAAAAATGGCAGGGAGACCAGATGCGGTGACTCAGTTATAATCCCAGCACTTTGGGACACTGACATGAGCAGATCGCTTGCACTTAAGAGTTCAAGACCAGCCTGGGCAACATGGTAAAACCCTGTCTCTATCAAAAAAAAAAAATTAGCTGGGCATAGTGGTGGGCACCTGTGGTCCCAACTACTAAGGAGGCTGAGGTGGGAGGATCACCTGAGCCCGGGAGGCAGAGGCTGCAGTGATCCAAGATGGCACCACTGCACTCCAGCCTGGGTGACAGAGTGAGACCCTGTCTCTAAGAAAAAAAAAAAAAATGGCAGGGACTCAATCTTTGCCAGCGAGTGGTGCTTGGGCTTGTCAAGGAGAGAATGATTCTGTCATGTCTCTGCTTTTGTCCGTTCCTGGTCTGCGGGCTCTCTCAGCTGACTCGTGTCCCCTCTCCCATCTTCCTGTACAGCACAGAGAGTATGAGGCTGTGGCCTCCACGGGCCACTCACTTGTGACCCTTTCCACCACGGCGGAGCCTTCCAAGCCTACCTCTTGCCGTGTGGTGATCTACCTCCAGCGGGAGATGTCGGGGGACACCTGCCTGTGCCCGGCCTCGGGGGCCAAGCCCAAGCTCAGTGGCTTCAAGGGAGGAGGGCTGGGCAACAAGTACGTCCAGCTGAACGTGGGCGGCTCCCTGTACTACACCACTGTGCGGGCCCTGACCCGGCACGACACCATGCTCAAGGCCATGTTCAGCGGGCGCATGGAGGTGCTGACTGACAAAGAAGGTGAGGCGTCGGGGCTTGCTGCTCAGGGTAGGGAGGGCAGGAGAGGTTCCCGGGGAAATGACCAGATCTAGAATTCAGAGTCACTTTTCCTCTTCACCTTGTGGAGGGTGGAGTCCCCAGTAGAGCTTCGGAATTCTGTGAAGTTGGGCATGGAGTGCTATATGTTTATGCATTTTTCAGGAAGAAGAGCCATCCTTTTAAAATATTCAACTAGGACAAGATTCTCATAGGGGCCATCACCTTAAGACTGGGCAGCGGGCAGAAGCTAGCAGCGGCGGGTGGCTTCTGTGTTGGGCTGGCCGTGGCGCCCTAAGCCTAGGCCCCAGTAGCCTCCACAGCCTGGAGGGCTGACTCTCCCATGGGTGTGCCTGTTCTGGGTTTCAGGGAGGAAGGGTGAAGAGCAGCCGTGGGCCCGAGTGCTAGAACCTCCATCCCCACCTCCGTCACCCTGCACGAGAGCTCTGTGCTCGTGGAGCCCCTTTCCTGCCACCTGCCATCTGCCACCGGCTCGTCAGGTGGTCTTTGCCTGCCTTGGAGGTACCTGGTGGCAAACTAAGCCTCTAGGGCCGTCTGTACCCCTAGGCTGGATCCTCATAGACCGATGTGGAAAGCACTTTGGCACCATTTTGAATTACCTCCGAGATGACACCATCACCCTCCCTCAGAACC